TTAACTAAACGTAACCAACTAACTACTACGTCAACTAATAATACTTACTAAGTAAGTACGACAATAATAAACTAATATAAGATTAGATGTTTATCGTTTGTTTGTTGTTGTTTGTTGTGTGTGTGTGTGTGTGTGTGTGTGTGTGTGTGTGTGTGTGTGTGTGTGTGTGTCTCTGTAAGCATATCAAATGTTTTTACCTCGCTTGTGGGTAGCTTGGAATCTCTTCATAAGACGAGTGATTAAGGCAGTCATTGTCAACATTGCAAATAAGTGACTGAAGAAACGGAAGGGGACCAGCACTAGGTAAGGCACGAGCATTGTAGTAACCTGTTGATGAGATAAACAGTACTGTTATGTATCATTCCTATATATTCACAAGTATTTTATAAGCTTACAAAAGGTAACTAAACACGTAAAGACTTTCCAACTTTGAATAAGTGCCTTCTTAGAAATGAGTAGCTTGTCGAATGAATTGATTTGTCTATCAAAAGATACCTTATCCAAGGGAACGAACCTGCAAAAAATTTACATAGGGCACAAATGAAGAGCTTTAAACACTAAGAATGAACATTTTTTATGTAATAACAGTTTTCATTAGTTTTTATTTCTATATCTACAGAAATTATTTTTAATTTGTTCATTTAGTGTAGTGCCTCAACCAATTATGACATTGGTAAAGTTAATTCGTAGATATGAAATTCAGAAGCATCTCAAAATAATCCCTTAAATATCTATACATTACAACGATCAAAATGGGACAGGGATATATATATATATAACAGTAGCAGCACGACATTTCTCCCTGCTTTCCGTAACATTTATCAAACAGAGCGAAACGTCGTGTCGTTTTTTTTTTGTTGTTGTTGTTGTTTTAACACTGCCCCATTTTTACCCTCTTAAGTTATTTTTGGGATTTTAGGACTCTTCTATTGTACGTTATATATTGCTAATGGGGCTCTCAAAATGCACTAAACATATGGAGGGGTTTAATTCGTACCTCTTGACTGACATGTTAGTTAACTCAGTTTTATAAACACAACTGAGAATTCTTGATAAATTTTAATAACTTTTGACCTATTGTTATAACAACGTAAATCATTTTCGTATTTTTATAATTTTGTAAAATAAAAATATGTGCAAAAAATTCATACACGTTAAAATCACATGAAAATATGCGTAATTTTTTTAAGTTGCAAAACGATAATTGAAGTTTGTTAAGCTCATTTCTTGAAACAAGTTTTATGACAACTTATTACAGAAATAAAACTATTAATCAGAATCATCATGTTTTGTTATTACCCCCTCATCACAGAAATAAAACTGTTAATCACAATCATCGTGTTTTGTTATTATACCCTCATCACAGAAATAAAACTATTAATCACAATCATCATGTTTTGTTATTATACCCTCATCACAAAAATAAAACTGTTAATCACAATCATCATGTTTTGTTATTATACCCTCATCACAGAAATAAAACTGTTAATCACAATCATCATGTTATTATACCCTCATCACAGAAATAAAACTGTTAATCACAATCATCATGTTATTATACCCTCATCACAGAAATAAAACTGTTAACCACAATCATCATGTTTTGTTATTATACCCTCATCACAAAAATAAAACTGTTAATCACAATCATCATGTTTTGTTATTACACTCTCATCACAATTTTGTTTTTACTCCAACTGAATACACTGCTAAGTTGAACTATAAGTTTAAGGTATAAGTGTAACACAGATTTGTAACAAGGTTCACAAACGTATAGTCATGCATGACAAGTTCACAGCACTGAAAAAGATTCACTGAATACATTCTGATTAATATGGATGAGCTTGTAAAAATAGTACACAATGTCAGTGGTAGGCAACGTCCGTTGAGAAGAGACACGAGAAATTTGATTGTTCCCATATAATCATTATTAAAATTATGTGTGTGTGTGTGTGTGTGTGTGTGTGTGTGTGTGTGTGTGTGTGTGTGTGTGTGTGTGTAAAAGTTAAAAATACT